TTCTTTCAAATCTAAGCAGTTCTAAGGAATGTAACTCTATTATTCGCTTTATCATCAGCCAGTATGAATCCACGATTCCTGCGTCTTAGAGCCCACATTTCTAGTTGCATAATCTTACCGATCATAGATTTTATAGATTATAGCTACAATACTTATATTGTATGAGTGTCCTTTGTTCCTCAAATATAGTATTTGTTTAAAGATAGACTATTTTCCTATTACAGCAATCATGTGCTATTATGGAGAGCATTTTTCATAAAATGCTCAGTACAGTCAATTCCAAAGTTGGGTGTATCTCTCCATAATGTGAAGGATAATGGGTAAGGTTGGGACATCCAAGACATCCAGCAAGAATGGCAGATCATATGCTGTAGATACATATATATGTACATTCTTGTATATCATCAGCATTAAGAGACGAATCCAAATCGTAATATCAGTCCATTCGTCTACGTTTCAATCACTGCTCCTCCCACAATTAAAACTTTGCACCGATCGCAATAACATTACATAGCAGGTTACACAACTATATGATATAGTTTAGTTAGTTTTTATGTTGAAAACTTCTTTGCTTCTACATAGTGATCACAAATATGTTTAAAACGGTCTCTAATGGATATATAAGATAAGATACGTAGTACGAAAAGAGTTGGGTGGAATCAAGTTCCCAAACCATCACCAGGGAGGCATACAGTTTGCTTCTAACTCAGAGTACAGGGTATACAGCTTCGGCACAGAAGAAAATAACGTTTGAGCTCGATTTTCCTGCCTCCCTCTCTCTCCCTCTTCTCTCTCTCTCCTCTCTCTCTCTCTCCTCTCTCTCTCTCTCTCTCTCGCACACACACACCATCACTAAATTTTTTGCTGCCGTTGTGCATAATAAAAAGTTGCGCTTCGCGCTTTTGCTGGGCATTATAAAGAAGCAGACGTAAGAACAACAAAGTCTGGTCATAATATGCTGAAAGCAACAACAACAACAATAGCAACTACAAATACAAAGATTGCTTGCCTAGTCAGCATACCAAATGACGCCCCAATGTGTGTAATGTGAGCAACCTGAGCATTCACGCCGAACGTCGAACGTGGAACGCTGCAAAAAGATACTTTGTTTGTAGTTTGTGCGCGCTTAAGATACAATTTTGTTGAAAGCTCACAAACACACATATTCGCACATCTCAGTACATACATACATATACATATACGGTATATGTATATCACTTATGTGTGTATTTACTTATCTTCTTACTACATGCATATGCGAGTAAAGCTGTTCTTGACGTGTTCGTCATTGTTGTTGTTGCTGGCCAGTGAGAAATCAAATGGAAAAGCAAACAGCTAAATTGATTATAGCAGCAAAATCGCATTTTGCTGTTATTCCTTGGCCACCAATGGGGCCAACATTGTTGCAATGGGGCGCGAAACAGCCAATTTCGCAGCATTACTTGATTACGCTCTGGAATTGAAGCGCAGCACAAATTGTTGTTAATTAAAAGCCGCCACTTGAAATGCAACTTAGGGCCATGCCACATAATTTCACTAAGCGTGTTTATCTAATTGACCAGCAACTGCAGTGGAAAGCAACCAAGAGCGAGACCGAGAGCTCACCATAAATCAATGGTCAGAGTTCAGCTAATTGAGTGACGACAGCTTAAAGGCAAAGAACCTTTAAACTAGTAGAGGTTGACGACTCAAGCAAAGTGCATGAAAATGTTTCACAGCTTGACAGACAATGTTAATTATTAATGTACTTGAGGAAGTAATAAAAAGTGATATTTAACTTTAAAAAGTAAACATTAAAGTATTGCAATAGAGATCTCAATTTTTGTAATTATGCATCATTAAAATCGCTTCATTAGCGAACAGCAACTACTTATAATGGCATGCACTAAAGGTTTTATTATTTGAGCTTTATTAAATAATTAATAGAAACTTAAGCTGCTAAAAGCATCTTCAATCAAGGCGTACAATGCTCAAATATTATAGAATAATACCAGATAATATGCTTGGCACTTATATCTACATAAGTAATTATACAAGCATTTAGAGTAGGGTTAAAGAAAATATTGAGTAAAATGAAATTAATAATAAAGTACTATAATAAACTAACAACAAGAGGTTAGTTATCATAGAACGGAACGAATCTGAGCAATCACTAAAATATTAAAACTTCTTACTGTAACCGACAATTTCTTAAAACCATTTTCCAATTAAATTCTAATTACATGATCATATTTTTTCTCTCTTGTAAGTATTAAAAAACCACAGAAGATGCAATTTTTAATACATGGGAGCTGCAAAATGTGAAAGCACTCGCTAGTCTATTAAATTAAACTTTAACTCTTTTAGACTAAAACTTAAACCTTTACCTACTGCCTACTTCAGCTATGTAAACCCTTCTTAGAAGAGAAACTTTGGTTCAAATCTGGAGCTTCGCTCTATATATGAAAACATATTATCAGATGATCAACGACTTCCAGAAGCTAGAAAATCCTTCATTGTTAATGGGCTCTAATTCAGCATAAAATTTCAAGTTTCCTATTCTTAATTTAGAAACAACAACGACAATACGATGTTGGGAAATATTGAATGGATAAAACATTCTAATTCATTATAACATATCAAATTTCTTATTCCAAATTTTGTAACAACAATGGCAAGGCTAATAAATTTATGCAATGCTTATGCCATTCTTAAATATCTTCCGTTGAACCAATAAGGAACAATTTAATTCATTTTACAAAAGAGATGTAGAATCATAAACTTTAAGACAACTTTAATATTTAAATCTATAACTACAATACAAATAGAAATTGGCACATCGCAGAAGCCAAAAGTTACAATTTTTCTACACTCAATAACATTTTGTTTCAAATTTGAATTACTAAATGTTTAAATTGTTCAAATTTCTTTTTAGACAACAGAGCGTTAGATACATTTTTAAGTCAAGCTAGGACTAAACGCCTAAAAGCATAAGATAGGCCCAACTAACTAATTGTATCTGTGTTTTCAATCCAAATGCAAATGTGTATTTGGTTGTAAGATCTGTAAATACATCTAATCATTTATTTAACTGCAAGATCTATTTATACTTAACTTTTAACAACAACAAAATACAGCAGGAAAGTATTCAGAAAAATAGTTGATGTCAAAGAGTGTACAGCTACCGGCTAGTTTTTCAAATCCTTTTTAAAATTTTACAAGAGTAGTTGCACTCTTTCAAACGATTCAATAGATTCTTAACGTCTTATCGTAACGGACTATAAAACTTTCTTTCATGTTTGTAGCTCATGTCAAGCGGCTTTCCAATTTCCCCAATCTCTTTAAAGTAGAGTATCCGAATTGCAAGCTGCTATGACTAATGATAAATGGTGATGCCTCCACATAAATACTCATATCGTTTTTAAGGCCGTTGTCTGAGCTCAAGTGTTAAGTAGCAGCCGGCAGTCGAAAATTCTCATTCCTCCTCATCCACTTCTTACAGCAGCGGAATACAACACATAATTAAAATTTCATTTTACTACGCTTTCGCTTATCAAATCGAGGAGATCGGGGCTCGCAATGCAGCGTGCAGTGCAACAACTTTTTCCTGCCCGAAGCTGTCCATCAAATCGATCAAATGTTGATGGTCTTTGCCCCTAATTGGAGCGAAGTTGTTTGTCGCCGCACACTGACTCAAATGCTAGAGCTGCGTGCGTGACAAAAAAGGTGCCACGAGCACTCACACATTTTCACGAATCACGAATATTAACTGTTGATGCGCCTTGGAATTTGTGTACAGAATTTGTAAACAACCGATTTTCAAGTATAAGATATTTTTATTTAAATTGGTTCTGTACAATTTCTTCAACTGAGGTTTTCAACACTGGTCTACTCAAGTCAATCGGTTCACTAATGACAAAGTTATTCAATATTTACATACCGACATAAAAGATGGCGCACCCTGTACACTGTCCCAGAGGATACAAGTTTTAAAAGGATTAATCATTATTGTATGAGATTAATTTTATGCGCACTAATGTTTATTATATTATAATAAATATTTTTAGTCCCTGATTTCTATTATTTGATAGATTCTATTGACAACTCTGAGTTCTAGTACAATTTTCAGATTTCAATCTAAAAATATATACTTTATATTAAAAGCGTTTATTTGACATGTGAAATGAAAAAGAACAAAAGAAAAGAAAAAGAACAAAATTTTAGATAAATTCTCACTTTGGATGGAATTGTGCCTAATTGGTTATTCCCAGTCTTGTTAAGTTTTATTGTAAAGTAATTTTTCTAATACCAACTATGTTGCTTGGTGTTCTTCTAAATTCTGCTAACATTGGAATTCTCCTAAAGTGGAATAGAATGGAGATTTCTCCACAATTTTAAAACTTCTTTGATTGCAATCACGCAATCACGCACATCTCTAGCAAATACTTGTAAACATAAGCAAATGTACAGACATATCTACAACTGCATCAAATACGCGTTTCCATGTATACATATTTCAACATGCGCTGCTGTTGGGGCCCCCCTCACCGCATAGTTCTTCGTACGCGCATATACATAAATGTGTATGTACATAGAAGTATGTGTGTGTATATCTTTCAATGGCATTTCTTTGTTTAAACTTCCCCCACCATCAGCATCGCCAGCAACCAAATCGGACGCTGCATCTTTGGCTCGTTTTCGAACGTGACTCATCAAGTTTGTGTGCAATCAGCGGTGCTTTTAGAATCTTTAAGTGGAATGTGTGGTCGGTCTTGTTGTAGTCGTAGGGTTTCGTTAGATTTGGCTTGTAACCCGATCGGCTTAAACCGGCTCGTCGCTCCGCTTGAGCAGACAAACGAGCGCATTAAGTATCGGTTGTCGTTATGATTTTGATGTCATATAGAAATTAACACGGTCACCAGCACTCTATAGGCCGTATAAAAATCCGCTTATCGCAGCCCCAATAACAATAATAATTACATTAATTTTTATGCTTTCTTCCATTTCCCTCTTCATTGCAGTCTGCAAGAAGTGGCTGGAGCGTGAGGATGGCGCCCTGGCCTACAAACTGCAATCCCAGGAGAGTAAGTGTGTGCTTGCATTTCGATTTGATAATTAACTTATGCAGCAATGGTCATTTCTTTTACGTCCAGTTAATGACTTCTATAAGGGCAATCGTTATCGCAATGCGGTAGTGCGCGAAGATTTCCCAACGGCCCTCCATGAACAAATCAAAGAAACTGAGAATGCACAACGGCAAGTGGAGGCCTACAGAAGACGCCTAACAGAGCAGTAAGTAATGGGAATTAATTATGCAGCTCACTGGCTCGTTTACTTACATACAAGTATATGTATGACACATGACTTATGTACGAGTATGTTTCCCGCAGGGAGGAGCATGACAAACGCATTGCCAAAGAAATTGCAGACAAACTGGAACGCGACTTGCAAGAACAGCAACAGAAGGAGTTGCACGAAAGCGAACTCATAGCCCAACAAATGCAGGTGAGAGGATTTAATTAGTTCTCGAAGCTATTGTAGTTGTTGCGTTGAGAACTTTACTTTTTTTTATATATTTAATATAAGCAGATAACTTTACTGGCAAATACTTATCATTCTCAATTCCAAGTATTCCACACTTACTAGAAACTTTTTTAATTTTGCCTCAATTATAGGAAATTTATGTGAACTTGCCGCCCGTGCCGCCTCCCAGTTGCCGTGACAAGGCCCGTCCACCCCCACGACCTGCCAAAGCAAGTATTCTACAACAGCAGCTGCTGCAACAACAACAACAACAACAACAGCAACAGACATGTCAACCACATATATCAAATGGAAATGTTGAGCCGACTAGCTCCACACAAGCTAGATATCACCACAGTCAGCCACAGCCACAGCCACAGGCTCAGCAACCATTGCTACTGCAGCAGCAACATTTCTCACAAACAGACAACTATGTAGGACTATCGCTCATACCAAATATTGTAGATATGCCAACAAGCACACCAGTTAGACAAAAACCCACACAGCACCTTACCAACTATAGCAACAACAACCACAACAACAACAACAACAACAATCAGCTGTTGGTGAGTGACGCTGAACAAACGTCACGCTTCCATCATCAGCAGCAACAGCAGCAGCAGCCACAACATCAAATATCACCAACCTCAACAACCACTGCAGCCACACGCCGCCATCAATCGCAATCGCAATCGCAATCTCAATCACCACGCACACCAACAAATATTTTGCACACACCCACACACACGAGCACCGCATCGTTAATCGACGATTTTGTCGATTATGCTGATGTTGCTGACAGCATACGCTCCTATGATATGTCAGCAGCAACATCTGCCGATGCTCTCGATGCCAGCACCAGCACCACCACCACCATCACCACCTCTCATTATAAACAACGCTCGCCATCCCATGAGAATTTGCTTAAAACTGAACCCAAATTTCAGAAGTTGTCGCCGGAGAAATACGATCAGATGGTGGGGAACTTTGGCGTTACGGCGGGCAAGGTCGCTGAGCGGCACATGCAACAGCATGCCGACGACATCGAGGTCTATGTGGATCCCTGTGATTATGCCAGTTTGCGTGAAATCGGAATGCCCATGGAAGAGATCAAGGAGCTGAGCAAGAAACTGAAACAGGAGCAAAAAGATGAGGTGGGTTCCAAATCAGCAGCATTAATGGAAACTTAATATGGAATAATATTTGTATTGAAAGGGAACTCATATTAAAGAGTATTTTCAAGTTTTTGAAAAATATAAGCAAAAGTTTCCATTTGAAATGGCTTAGCTTTGTCTAGAAATCGGTAAAATATGTTATTACTACATTCAACATTCTTTTCAATGGGTTTTTTATAAAGGCAATCAAAATACTGTTTTAAGAATCTAAAAATTACTTATTTTATCGTGCGTTTTATCGTTTCTGTAGCTTTGTGAAAAGTAATTTTGTTTGATAACCATACTCTGAGCCTTTCAAAAAATAATACAATCAATAGATTTTTAATTGAATCGTTCATTATTTTAAAATATATATTTACAACAATTTTTAAACGTGTTGGGTAAAAAATATATATCTGGCCAAGTACCTTCGGTTTCTCAAAAGTAAAACCAGCTAACAAAAATAATATTTACACAATTATTATTATTGACATAATCGTATGTTTATCAAACAATTTCAAGAATTATATTCTGTTTAAGCAAATGTTTTATTTTTTTCATTTAGAATATTTTTTAACTAAAGTTAGAACAAAAATATTTTACATTTTTCATTTAATACAAAAAAAAAAATTAATACAAAAGATTTGTTATATATTTTCCCGATTAATTTAACCAATAATTTCCAAATTTTAGTTGCTGGCACGTCGGCTGCAGGCCATTGAGTCGAAGGACACCGTCAGGCAGGAGGAACGTGATCGCATGCTGGCGATTGAAGCTCAAGACAAGGAACTGGCCAAAATGCTGCAAGAACGGGTAAAATCTTTTCAATATAACTTATTAAGAATAATACTTTTTACACACTCCACAGGAGAAGGCCAAAGCTAAGCGTGCCAAGGAGAAGGCGCGCCTGCGCAAGAAGGAGGCCGCAGCTGCAGCCGCCTCCGGCAACAATTCCACACTCTGCGGCAGCAGCAACAACTCACACTGCGGCCCATTGCTGCCACTGCCACAGGACTGCATGTCCGGCCACAAGTCACAGCCGCCACGACCGCTCGATGAGAATGTCATCGATGTAGAGGCCTATTCGAATCCCATAGACGTACTGAGCAGCCATCAACGAACCCAAAACGGCACTCTGACCAATGGCAGTCTGACGCGCGATTCGGGCTCGGCTCACAGCTCCATGCAGCGACATCATCGCCTCAATGGCAGCTTGAGTCGTGAGGACGATATCTACACGCTGCCCGTGGACAGCTGCCGGCCTGGACAGAGGCCCGTTTCTCTGCACATGGCCGCTGAAACGGGACAGCAGCAGCAATCTCAAAACTCCATGACGCGGTGAGTCTCTAACTAAAAACAGTCTAACAATCCATATTTTATAGCCAATCTCTATTTGATAGTTCGGAGCATTATGGCTCGGAGAGCTCGCACGATGAAACGCTTCACCTGAATGGTCACGATTTATCGCCACACGTCAAATACTCGAACTCGGCAAATTTTGGTATATATGTATTTGAAAGTGCTCTTTAATGTGGTTTCATATTTTTTTCTAACATCTACATTTTTATTCTTGCAGATCAAAGCTCCAGTCCCACGCCGCCTTACATGCCAATTCAAGGTACGCGCAGATCGAATTCAAGTGAGGATCGAAAAAAGAAATCCAAGGACAACAAATGCACTCACCAATAAAGTCTGATGGCAAAAATCGTAGCTTTCACACATACTTACATATTCAAACATACATATACTATACAAGTATACACATACTATATAAACATATATTTTGATGTTCTTCCTTCAATTGACTACGTACTTTATTATGACAATGAAATTGTTTTGCTGCCTCTTCGTAACTCGGTATCTTGTATCTTGTATTGTTAGTGCTTAGTAATAGTAATCTTAAGCTGACACTTGTTGTGCGGAATCAAAAATAAAACTTCAATTTGAAAATCAATTCAATGGAATAGAGTTCTTGAACTTACAATTAGTGTTCGAAATACTGCACTTTTTCAATTAGCGAGACAGAGAAAAAAAACTAACTACAGAAGAAGAAACAAAACATTATCGAACACAAATCCAATTTTAAATCGATTATTGTTTTTCGTCTTCTGTTGGTAGGCCAAGGTTATCATTTTTTTTAGGTATCTTAGACTTCTATGTCGCGCGCCAGAAGAGTTAAGCCGAATTACTCTAGGGTTTGAAGTTTAATTTGAATGCAGTAGCCCAAGGCGGTTTTATTTAAAGTACAATTTCTAAGTCATCTACTCGTGTAAAAATAGGATCTACAAAAAGTCTTTTCGTGTCTTCAAGACATCAAAGCTAATGTATATTATTTACATAAGCATTTATTAAGGTAGAGTTTTATGTAAAGGGCTTTTTAAGTAAATATAATTACAACTTTGAACGCTTTTCCGTTTGCACCCATAAACTACACTTTGAGTTCGTAGATTATGAAAATATTTATATATTTACTGTCATTTAAAACTGTGGAATAAAAAAGTGTATGAAATGGAAGTCCGAATTACAAAGCCTGCAAAAAACACGAGATGACTATCGGAATTGCAAAGCTTACAAAGAGCATGAAATATAATTTTCAAATGAAATATATATAGTTTTTAAAATCCCTTCTGCTGTTTGTAGAGTAAGTATGTCTGTGGTATCAATAGCCCTATTGGCCGCATGAAAAAGCATACAATTTCAAGTAAGTTTCAAGTATAGCTCCTCCCATAAGACTTATTTATAATTAAGGAAATATAAGAAATTTCCAGCGTTAACATGACTTTCATTCCAATTCCTTTTAAGGAAGCAATATTGTTAAGCTGTAACACTGTTAAGCTATTACACTGTTAAGCTGTAACTCTGTTAAATACAAGCACTGTACAGTTGTAACACTGTTGGGATGAAATATTGTTACACTGTAAAATTTTAAAACTGCAATATTGTTGATTTCTAGCGCTTCTAACCTGTGACACATTGTTGCTGTAATACTACTCAAATGATAAACTTTTGTTGTTTTCATTCCTCAATTTTTCTTTAATATTTGCAACAAATTTAAATTTCGACCAATAAAATTATTTGACAGTTTTCCATAAAGAAGAATCAAATGAAAGTTGTAATAAATTTATGTTTACACCGGCAAAGTATTTTTGGAATGCCTTAAGTAAGCCTTTGTTTCAATAAAAAGTCGTTTTGTGAAGTATACATTTAAATATCATAAACTTTAAACACATTTTCCAATTTCTACCAGTTTTCAATTAAATATTAATTATTTTGTAATAGTTTTTGTAGTTCCTTAAGTTTATTATTTTTCTAGACAATTTAGCTTATTTATAATGTTTCCATTATATTTTAAATGTTCTCTATTTGCAGTATAAATAAATACTTATAAATACTTATTATGCGAGTGGATGGGTGAGGATTATTAGGTCATATTAGAATATGACTCTGTTTCCGTTCACGATTTCTTCACATCCTTTTCTTGCTTGTCCTTTCTTCACTTACAATTTTAGCGGTGTCCTGAAACTCACGCGATACTCCTCATACACCTCATAACTGAAGTTGAAGCGATCTAAGACAAACGAGCTATTGTGCCAGCTCCACTCCAGCGCATATTAGATTAGTAAAACAGCTTACTTAGTCAGCCAACCGATGATGGACTTTGCTGTTTCCCCAATTGATCGATTTCTAGAACAGCATAAAAATAAATGTTTAATGAATAAGAAACTGAACCAAAAGTTATTGAACTACAACTTAGCCTCTTCCTGAAGTTGCAGAAATATGTGTGTTCTACAACTAGTCCTCGCTTAACACGGCTGCTATCATATGCGAATCTTTCTTCAAGCTTTTCTTTAAGTTTCTTTAGAGCTATCATCCGATTTAGAATTGTTTGCTTCATTCACAGCAATAACAATTAATAGTTGGTCATCCATGCCTTTATATTCAAAATTCTCATGCCCCTTATCGACATTCATGTCTTCAAATCCTTCACCTTCAAGTAAATATGCTAATTCAATTTTAATTTCAAGAATATTGTGGCAATTGGTTTTCGTTGTTTGTAATAACAATAGGATCTTCCAATCATTGCAATGCATTACATACATTGATGGAGTCTGAAACTAGAACAGGAGTCTGTATCAAAAATTCAGAGTATAAAAAGCCTGATATATAGTGGTATGTCTTATACCATGACCCATGTTCCACTTCCATCTGTCTCGAGCATATTTTAGATCCATCCAGAAGCCTGTACAACTTTAAATGTAGCCTTCGCCCTCTACGCGGATAGTGCTAAGAGTTGCGGAAGGCAGGCAGCTCCTAGAAACCGATGTCTAGCTCTTAGTAGAGATGGACAGTCGTAGCAGAGGTGGATCAAAGTTTCCTCCTCTTTCTCATTACGGCAGCTCCGGCAGAAGACGTTGTAATAAAGCCATAGTCTAGCGGAATGGCGTCCTGATCGCCACTTAGCATGGGCTTCTGCTTAGCTTGCAGAGTGAAGCTTTTCCTGTTTAAAGATTTATTATTTTCAGTCGTGTAAGAACAGTTTTCAATTTATTAAAAGTGAAATTTATCGTATTAGACCGACTTCTCCGCTAAAAGTAGAGTTAAGCGAGAGCTATGTGTAATTGCTTATGCTTTATGTGAAATGAACTCACTTGTTTTATCGCATTTCCGAGCTACCAAGTAAATGATAGAGCTGAAATGTATTATTTGTATTGAACGAGCTTGGATTTTAGTTGGATTAGAGGGGGAACGTTCTACTAACATCAGCAAGTTTGCGTCCAATACCGGAGATCAAAACTTGTGAAACTGGTATTAAAAGTCACAAGTTAGGGTCTCAGGGAATCAGCCATACAAACATTTGCACATGTCACTAATACCAATGATGCATTTTTCAGAGGTATAGCCATGAATGGGGCTACAGTTATGTACTTCAGCGAGTATTCACACAGTTTCTGCACGATTATTGGATAATACACATATTGTATGGCTATGGCTATTAAGTTTTCATTGCTTTTGTCTAATTTTTAAGAGGGTCTGTGGATAATTGCGGCTTATAGTCAAGCAAAGAAAGCTAGCACGTTGTATAGTATGCTTCATGAATACTACTATACAACCTACTACCTCAATTTGCCAGAGAGAAAAAGGTCCTTGGTGTAGTCCTTTTTGCTGGTTATGGTTGGATAAACGTATACTTCTCAAACCAAAAAGATGTGGTGAATCGAAAATGATAAAATAAATGAGGGTGATGAGTGCGTGAAATTGTAGTACTTTAGCATTATTTTGTTTACCATTTACTTTTCTTTCATTCACTTTTTGATTATTATTCTGTTTTCTGTGTTCTTTCAAGTTTATGGTTTGTTAATGCTTGTTACTCTTTCGCTGCCAAAAAACCAGTTGTTTGCATTGACAGAGTCCCATAATGCCGGTCTTGTAACAGATATAAAACAGCACAAGTTCGGATTTACGGGTTTCTGTTAATGGTCCATATTTTAGTATGCACCATTGCTTTGGATTTTGTATTTTTCTCAGTACGAGTATTTATGCAGTTAGTTGATTATGCAACGCCTTTTATCGCTGATGATTCAGCTACGCAACTACCCCTAAATGAAGATATTCAGCGTCTCTCCTTAAAGTTGTTTCGATTGGATTGTGAAATAATTTCGTTGATTGTGAAATTCACTGCAAAATAGAGTCGATTAGTAATGGTTTTGTTCGGCATTTAGGCACTCACTAGGTTGCGGTAAAGTCACTTCAAGATTCCTTTTGGGCTTCCTCATAATGATGACTAGTGTTGTGATCTATAAAAGAGAGAGAGTTTAAAAAGATTTAGTATGCTTTCCATGCATCGATTTGCAATCATTTAGAGTAAGCTCTGATGTAATGAATGATGTACTTGGCCCAAATGACCATCCACTGGGAGTAACTCAACTGCCGCCCACATATGCCACACATCCCAGAATGGCAAAGAAATAATAATAGTGTAATAGAGGACAGTTACATTTCATTAAGCAGCTTTTCTTCAGAATCATACCAAATAGGTTATTGTCATTATTAAAACTTTCTTCTGACCTATCTATTAAACATTATTGGACCAATCATTTGTAAATGATTTCAGCTATGGCAATAGTTTAAATCAAGCTCTTCTTATTCTCAACAACCTTTTTATAAAAGAAAGTAGTAATGTCTCTCTGAAAACTTATTTTGATTGATCGCAAATGATCCTTTCAAAAGAAAGAAAGAGTACAGTTTTGCGGGAAGTGAAAAATGTAACAGGCAGCAGGAGGCGTGGCAGACCCCACAAATATATATTCTTGATAAAAATTACAAGCCGAGTCGATCAGCAATGTCTGTCTATCTTGTTTTCCATCTTCCATTTTCTTTTCCACTTCTTATTATTATTATGAAAACGAAACATCAAAAATTTTGTTAAAACACAATTTGTTACTATTTCTGTTAGCGTTGGTTTAACAAATTTTGTTTACTCCTAATAGAAATTTTCGAGTTTATTTATCTGGAACCATTTATAAAATAGTCTTGTTAATAAATAATATTTTAAAATATTTATTTTAAAATAATTATTTATATCTTTATATAAATATTCATATGTTTTTTAATTTAACATAAAAATATTGGAAGTACACGTTGAAAATTTTTACTTAAACAATGCTTTCTTTGAAATATTTTTTGTTATTTCATAAAATTACTTTCCGGCTTTAGATAAATATATATTTATGTTTGATGAACAATTTGTATAGCACGTGAAAAAATGTATTGGACCTTATTTATTTAAAAACAAATTCTTGTTTTATTTATTTACTTGTTTTTGTTTGTTCCTTATGCTGGTAATTTATATATA